AACGATTAGGGTTTCTAAGACTAGCTCGAGGTAGCACGGGACCGAGATTATATAGAAGATTGTTGGAACACTATTGTAAGTTGAGGGTTATCTAATCGTTACTCTCAACTAAAATGATGATTAATTTTGAAACTTATTTTTCAATTTTCTTCACCATCAAAGCCAGAAAATATTTCTTCTTTACTGTAATTTCACCGTACTTAACATGTTTTTTTAGATATCCTGCCGCACGGTATGCGTATAGAGGTGCCGCATCCAGTTGCGGATTTATATACATTCTATGGCCGGCTGGAGATCCCCGGCCAGGACAGCCTGGCGCTCGGCACCGACAACCTCATGCTGAGGGGATCCAGGGTCAAGAACACAGAGTGGGCGATAGGATGCGCCGTCTACACGGGTCAGTTAATTTTAATCATGATATCTTCGTTCTGTTATTATTTATTGAAATTTTACACAAAAAATAAGTCTCAGGGCATGTCCCACTAAATTGTAAATTGTCTGAAATAACCCAACGTGTAAAATATGTGATGGAATTGGACATATCGGATTTTGTTACCTAATCTGACAGTGACGTAATTTTTAAGCTATCTGAACCTCTATCAGCCAGTGGTGGGACAGTTAGTCATGTAATTGAACAAAATTAGCTTTGGTTCAATCAATATTAAACGCATATTGAAATCTTGATTACATAATCCAAATATAGATCGATAAACCGTAAATCTTTTCATTCTTGCTAAAAGAATTAATTGTAGATTTTATCTCTTTTATCAATACGTCGACCTTGATTTTAGAATGACTGCTTTAAAAATACACTAAAGTTAACAATGAGTTTCCTTTTTACCTGCTACGATTAGTTTTTCCTTCCCTTTTTTTTCTTATATGCAAAGTCAACCTTTATTAACATAGAAGGGAACGCACAGACAAGATTACTATTTACTCGTATATTTATTCACAATGACAGTATAGATTCCTTTTGACATTATCAATTTTGTTTCAGGAGAAGAAACAAAATTAGCTTTAAACTCGAAGTATTCTGGCAACAAATTCTCGTCATGCGAATCAGCAGTCAACAGTTTTCTAGTGCTGTTCATCTTGTTATTACTGTTCGAAATATCGATATCGATGGTATTTAAAGTGGTTATCGAGAAGGGACATCCCGAGAGAGACCTGTATCTAGGACCGGGGATAAAGTACCCGCCTTCAGTCGGCGCTGTGTTGCAAGATTTGTTGTCCTTTCTACTGTTGTATTACTATATTATTCCTATGTCGCTATACGTGACTATCGAGCTGTACAAATTTATAGGTAAGACAGAATTAATAAACCAAAATTATTATTAATAAATACTTACGCAAATATACAAAAGTGGAAACAGATAGAAGGGATTTAACATAATAAAGTAGTTAACGTTTTCTCGATAAAAACTTCTGACACCTGTGATACAATCTTATCGTCTATAAGTTTGATATGACGTGATACAAATGAAAGAGAACAATAGCGTTATATCGACGAAAACCTTTCCTTTTATCACATGGTCTAGTTGTCTCAATTCTACAGAAAATGCTTTTTTGCATAGCCTGAACAATACCATCTAAGCTGAACATCTAAACCATCACGGGACAAATACTAAGAAGCAAGGTAACATTTAAAAGTAATTCTTATGAAGTCGTTGTTTAGGTGCATTGTTTATTGGCTGGGATGAGGAGCTGAGATGCGAAGACACCGGGCGGCCCGCCATCGCCAACACTTCCGATCTCAACGAGGAGCTCGGACAAGTGGAGGTGCTGTTCTCAGACAAGACAGGCACGCTCACTAAGAACCTCATGGTCTTCAAAGCTTGCACTATTGGAGGACGCGTCTACGAAGAGAAGGATTCTAGACTTTACGATATCGAGCGATTTGATGAACCGGTCGACACGTTTCAGGTCCGTCGTTTGTTTGATAATAAACTACTTCGTGCAGTCTTGTAAACAATATACATAGGAAAAGGCTTCATTTCATAAAATTACAAAATTCTCTTAATCCTACTTTATTGACAACTTTCTATTTCAGACAGATATTAAATTTTTCTTCACAATACTCGCGCTGTGCCACTCTGTGCAAATATCTAGCGAGGACATGAAGAAACTAAGCGCAAGGTTATCTGGAAATGGTAACATGCAACTTATGAACTTCTTTCGAAGGAAAAAACTGAACAGAGGGACGATAGGTAACAACAATACGAATGAAAACAAACCTGGTGTATTAAATACCTTAGCATGGAACAGTCTTCTGAGGGATACTGGAAGCAAAATGGATTACCAAGCCAGCAGTCCCGACGAAAAGGCTCTTGTAGAAGCGGCCGATAGAGTCGGCGTGACATTCCTCGGTGAGGAAGGAAACAATTTGGTTATAAAAATCGGAGAAGAGACGGAAATGTACGAGCGTTTACAACTAATCGAATTTACATCAGAACGGAAAAGAATGTCGGTCATTGTTAGAGATAAAAATGGAAAGGTAAGTCATAGACTAGAAATTAACTTTATGTAAACAAGATATTAGATTTAATTAAGGAGAAAGTCTGATAATGTTACAGATTTGGCTTTTCTGTAAAGGCGCGGAGAGTTCAGTGTTCCCTATCTGTAAAGACACGGTTATGATTGAAGAGACAAATCGAGACATAAATGCATTTGCTAACAGGGGACTGAGGACTTTAGCTGTAGCGTATAGAGAAATATCATATGAAGAGTACGCCAGAGTGACAGAAGGTAACTATTTCAAGAACTGTATCCAGTGTGTGTAGAATTGTCTTTTAGAGATGATTTAACTTGTTGTCAGCTATAAAGCGTATAGACGGTAAGAGCGCGTCTGCGCTGCAGCAGGTGACGCTGCAGTACCGCGTGCTGGAGCAGCAGCTGACGCTGGTGGGCGCCACCGCCGTGGAGGACTGTCTGCAGGACGACGTGGCCGACACGCTGGCCTCGCTGCGCCGCGCCGGCATCAGGACCTGGGTCCTCACGGGGGACAAGGTACTGCTAAGTCTAAATATATAAAATAACAATAATTACACCTGCATTCGTTGTATTAAAAGTCAAGCGAATGCTTTATACAATATCTAGTAACCATATCGACAGGAGGCGAAGTCATTTTTATTATCATTCTCTTGGTAACCGGTCACTTTAGCTCTCGTTATAAAAATATACGCACATGTGTTTCAAAACAATCACTGCATTTATCGATAAGATGTAATTAATATTGATAATAGTTCACAGTCACAGATATTTTATTATCTAAAACTGAAATTTTAAAAATTGATTTTATTAATAAAATTGAAATTCAATAGAATGTAATAACTCAGCTTACATTATAAAGATTTTGTTAAAAGTATTTTATACTCTGCAAGCGCTTACTTAGATAATTGGATTGGACAGCATCCTAGCTGGCTGATTTCCAATGATATTACAATCGCACAGTAATTTACCACAAACAAAAAACTAAATAACCAAGCTTAACTATGTAAAAAATAGTTTAACTCAAATAAATCAAATAAAAAATTTAAAATTCTTTTTTATAGGTAGAAACGGCAATAAATGTAGCACAATCTTGCAGCCACATATCAGAGAACGACAGGCGAATGTTCCTTATCGGAGTGAAGGACGAGGTGGCTCTGCAGGCACACCTCGAGGAGTGCCGCCTCACCATCCTGGAGCCCGGCTACCGAGACCTCACCCTCATCGTGGACGGCACCAGCATGAGCTGCATACTGGACACCGCAGCTGCGCCCGCATTCGTTGACGTCTCCTTGAAGTGCAATGCTGTGCTGTGCTGCCGACTGTCTCCTATACAGAAAGCTAAGGTAAGTTGAACAGAGTGTGACCTCTTTTCTTATTGTCATCTTTCTATCGGAGGTATGATTTTAGGTTTGGCGTATTAAAACTTCGGAGTCCAGGAATCACCTTTATTCGCATCATAATCCAATGAAGACAATTTTTTGCACTTTTAATTTACTGTTGCATACACTTTCCTTTAAGTTTCTCTTACGTCCTAACCAAAATCCGAGTATAAATAAAAATTGTCTTTTACGTTTCCATTAAGTCTATCTGTCTCTTTAAGTAACTGAAAAATACTCAGAGACATTAATCGTTCACTGTGGTAATTTTAGTAATGTTAACATTATGTTGATTTTTATTTAGACATTGATTAATCTACCGTTAAAAATACTGTTTATGGGAGTACATGTTGGTTTTGTTGCAGATAGTAAAACTGATAAAGAACAGTCCGGAGAGGCCGGTGACGGCAGCCATCGGGGACGGCGCCAACGACATCTCCATGATCCAGGAGGCGCACGTCGGCTTCGGCATCTTCGGCAAAGAGGGGCACCAGGCTGCCAGGTTCTGACATTCTGATGCTACTGACTAATTTAAAGAGCGTCGGTAGCTCAGGGGTTTAAGTAATTGTCTAATCTACAGGTCATGGCTTTGAATCCTCCCTTATACCAATGTGAATTACGGTTTTTCGAATTTCATATGAACATAACCGACGCCCTTAGGGTGAAGGAAAACATTGTGATGCAGACTTCACATTTCGGTAAAGATATGAGTGGAGTCAACCAACCCGCACTGCAGAATGGTTGACTATGTCCTAGTCACCCCTAACTTAGGTGGGCCCCGAGCGAGGAGACATAGTGAGCTGATGATAAATTAATGTAATAACTTTTATTGTTCCCAGGTCAGCAGATTTTGCGTTCACCAAGTTCTCTATGGTGAAGAAGATGCTACTAGTGATGGGGCATTGGTACTACCAGCGGCTCGCAACACTCATACATTACTTCTTCTACAAGAATCTAGTGCTCGGGAACATTATGGTATAGTAAAGTAATAATAATACTTAAGAACTTCAGTAGTCTTCAGTAGTTATTGCGATTTTTATTGTGTTTTTGCCCTCATTTAGTTACCATGGTAACCAATTGCAACGTGATTGAAACTTCTGTAGCCATTTTACGTATCAGAAACAGTTGATTTAAAAGGATGTGGAGTCAACCAACTCGCAGTGCAGCGTAATTGTTTTTTTTTATGGGCGGGGGCAGTTACACCCTAAAATATGTATTTACAACCGTTTCCTAAAGTGACAGGGATATCACCAGGGAGTAGTAATTTACACCCAGGCTTACTATATTAACTGTGTTCCAGTTGTTCTTCCAAGTGCACTCAGCGTTCTCCACGCAGTCCATCTATGACTCCATGTACCTGACGCTGTACAACCTGCTGTTCACATCCGTGCCCTGCCTCGTGCTGGCCGTCACCGACCAGCGCTGGCCGCAGTCGCTGCTCATGAAGTAATTGCACCTAACTAACATTCCTTTCCCACTAAGACTAGTCGGTTTCTATGACAGGTCGTTTAAAAAATGGGAAACGGGGTTTACGGCCGAAAACTGGGATGGCTTAAAATATGATACACTAGCTTTTGCCCGCCACTCCGTCCATGTGAAATTTAAAAAAAAAAGTGAGTAGTCTATGTGTTCTTCCACACTATCCTCTACATCTATACCAAATTTCATCGCAATCAGTTTAGCCGTATAGGCTACAAACTCTAACAAACATCCATCCATCTAAACTTTCGCATTTATAATTTTAGTATGAAGTATAATTGTCTAAAATGTCAAGGCGACGCTTAAGCTACGATTTCCATTAAAATTGTGAAATATGTATATTGTTTTCAGAAATCCAACATTATATCGAGGCATAAGGAAGAACAGGCTGATGTCGTGGTGGAACTTCCTGGCGTGGCTGCTCTCCTCCATCTATCATTCTGTACTCATCTACGGCTTCTCCAAGACAATGTTCATGAGCTCCGTTATAAACACCGACGCTAAGACTATCGATCTGTGGTAAGATATTCTTTTACTGAAAACTTTTATATTATCCTATTTGCGAATTTTTGTAATAATAAAAACACAATTACCCATGTATTGAACGACCTTTTTATACAGACATAAAAGCTGCATCCTATTAGTTATTGTTCCGCGACGTCACAATACGTATCCATAGTGCCAATTATGTATGTGCTACATCGGCAATAGTGGCAATAAGGCGTACAGAGTGCCAATTATCATCATTACCACCTTGATGGTAGGAATTCCACGACAACGAGGTTTTCACGTTCTTACCTCGTACAGCCGCGTGGAACATTCTGTCCTCAGCGGTATTTCCAAACAGTTACGACTTAGGCCTTCAAGAAAAGAGCGTACTCCTCCCTTAAAGGCCGGCAGCGCATCTGTAGTCCCCTAGACGTTGTGGATGTTAATGGGCGTCGAATCAATTAATACGCTAGCTTTTCCTATAAAAAACGTACGACGGTAGTTTTTTAATTTTAATACCGTCAGATTCCCGGACAGTACAATTGTAATATTGTATTTCAGGTGCTTTGGTGCGGTGCTGTTCCACCTGATGATGCTGGTGGTGTCGCTGCGGCTGTGGCTGCAGGCGCGCTACCACACGCTGGTGTTCGTCCTCACGCTGCTCCTGTCTATGCTTAGTTACATCATTTTCAACACCATCTACTCCTTGTTCTATTTGTAAGTATAACAAACTGGCTAGTGTATTAGTGTTGAGAAAGTTCTTCTTTTTGTGCCGTCTCCTAACGAAGGTTGGTAATCATTACAGCAACTTGAAATTTAGACACAGCATTTCTAAATAAAAAACGCGTATTTTAGTTGGGCCATTGGCGAAGATTTTTAAGTTGAGAATATTATTTTGTTTTATAGTTTTTTTTTTCATTTAGGGACAGTAAAAAACATACAGACAAATTGAGTACCTCCTTCTTTTGGGAAGTCGGTCAAAAAATATATATAATGTTGATCAAATTATCAACATTGTAATTAATTACTAATTTTCGCGCGACTCAGTCTGCGTGGAATTAAAAAATAAAAGAAAGTAACCAATGTGTTCTTCCATCCATCTAAACTTTCACATTTATAATATTAGTATGAAGTATGATGTATACCCCTTTTTCACAGTGAAATAGACGGCGACGTGCTGGGCACGTACACGAGACTCCTAACATCGCCATCTTTTGGTTTCCTGAACGTTTTAATGATAGTAGCAGCTCTCGCGCCGGACTACTGCGCGCGCTTCCTCACTGACAGCCGCGGCTTCAGACATTTGAACAACGGTATTGCCAGTGTACAGAGAGTGTTTTCTACTAGACTTTGAAAATTTATTTCTTAACTTTAGTGAAATTTACTGTATTTGTTAATTGATTGTGAATGAATTTATGATTTAGCATTTATTTGGTTTAAGATTTGGCACAAATGTGATATGTATTTTTTTATTATAGAATCTAACTTATGGGTCAATGAATTCTTATAATATAAACTCTGCTTACCCCTTAATATACGGAGTATATTTTTTTTCTACATGGAATGTAAACCTTTTTAGACAGTATAATAGAATAATAATGTATTTAACAACACTATTTCTGAATTGTACTAATTTACAAGTTAACAACGGTAGTAAGTATTTAATTTCGCATTTCAAAACACTCGAAAGACAGTATTAATATACAAAAATCCAGTTTGTGTAGTTGAATTAAGATAATATAAACATAAGAATATACCCTACAAAGGGGTTAGAGCAATATTTTTTTAATAAATTTGCTTGTTTCTTTATTTTGATTGAATTGACTTATATTGTTTTAAAATAATGGTATATCTAGCTATAAGTTTGAAAATTGTAGATATTTTTATAGAATAAATGTAATGTAAATAAAATAAAAATATCAGAGTTTAAATATTTTAATAATGTACAATTTGTTAACATAAGTTAAAGTATAAGTATATGGTAATAATTTATAGGTTATTTAATAATGTGAAATGTACAAAGTACACAAAACTCGCGACGGGTAAACAAGAATGTATTTACGATATTAAAATGCATTATTAATAACAAAAATATTTATTGTATTTGAAATAAATGACTTTATTTTTATAAAGAGTATGTAGTTACCTCTATTCCCCCACACATCGCAATTTAAAAACCAATTTTACATCCCTGTGAAATATCCTTATAACTCACTAACAATAGGTCAAACATAACAATTTCATAAAAAAAATTACCCCTGAATTTGGGCAAAATTAATGGCCCATGAGGGGATCGAACCCGCGACCTTCGCGTTATTAGCACGACGCTCTAACCAACTGAGCTAATGGGCCGTCGACAGAAATAAAAAAAAATTATACAAGAATCATTTTAGATTTAAAACATGTTTTTTTAAGCTTGTCTATTAACTTACAGTAGTTTGTATACAATTAAAATATATTGCTTTGGGGTTTACATCTAGCGAACAAATCAAGAAGAATCACAGCTTGTTTTTAGAACTTTATTTTTCTTTTTATGGCGGCTTCTGCCGCTCTCGTCGTTCCCCTGACATATATTTCTTAGGGAGCTGGGATGAGTTTTTAGAACTAGGATTAGAAAGTCTCTTTCGTCCGCGACTTTGTCCGCGTGAAACTGAAAATAAGAATTTTAAAAATCTTCCCTGTAGTTTTTGAGTTATTTCAATACATACAAAAATCCAAATATTTCCTCTTTATAATATCGGTATAGATAGAATGTGTGTCGCTATTCAACAGTAATAAATTTGTTTTACAAGATACTAAAACAACATGTAAAATACTTTATGGTATAATAAAAAAAATGATTATAACATTTGACGTAAGACATCATCGGCCCATTAGCTCAGTTGGTTAGAGCGTCGTGCTAATAACGCGAAGGTCGCGGGTTCGATCCCCTCATGGGCCACATAAGTTTTTTTGTAATTTCAAACGAATATATTAACCAAATTATAAACCCATTTTTTTACTAAATAGTGACATAAATAGTACGCGCGCTTTAAGGATGTTAGTTTATGACAAAAAAAAACAAATTGATTAAAACATTTATTTCACATAGAATTATGCATCAAATTGACTTCTTGGAGAAGTAATCAGTTATCTTCTTGCTCATTTTCTTTTTAATCTCCATCGACAAATCCATCGAGGAACGTTTGGTGTCCCTTGCTGCGTCGCCTCCGCTGGTCGACTGCACGTTGTGTGAGAGCGGCAATGTATGCGGCCGGGTCAAATTCAAACTTCCACTGCCTTCATCGAGTTTCTCCATTTCTTGGAACAAGCGTGACGTCATATCACTTGAATCACTGGCTGCCATTTTGTTGTTGGACTCCCTTTTGTCATCGGTCGCCATTTTGTCATCCGCCGCTATTGTGTCATCGACCGCCATTTTGTCGCCCGTCTCCATTTTGTCGTTACTTGATGACTGTGTGTGCTTTTCAACGTTTTTATTGGCGTCGTTTAGATTTATCGCAAGTGAACATTCCTCTTGTGAGTTCGAGTTATATTCGAAGGGAGAGTTGAAGCATTCAGTTTCTACCGAGTCTATCATATCTACGTCATCTTGGATTTCGCTCTAGAAAAAGAAAATATTTTTTATAGTGACATAGTTTTCTTTTTTAAATCCATTAAAATAATTAAAAACGAGACGGTTGCCTGTAATTGTCAGATATTTGTTTATTAACTTACTTCAGTGAAGAGAGTGGGGGAGTTGGCGGCGAGCTGGCGCAGTATGTAGCGGTGCAGGCGGGAGGGGGGCAGCCCCTCCTCGCAGAAGTCCAGCAGCAGCTGGTACAGTTGCCCTGCTCATACAAAATCACATATAAAATGTAACACATAAAAGATTCTGTCTATTAAGCTGGTAAACTTCTATAGTATTTATAACTTATGCCCACATTTGCGAGAAAAAATCTTAAGTAATATGTTCTTCCAGACTTTGCATACATCTGTATAATATTTGAGAACATTTGTACAGTTTTGTAAGAGTAGTAACAAATGTCCATCCATCCAAACTTTTTTTTTATTTTACTAGACGTTTGGACGAAATTATAATAAAAATATTATTTACATTTTTAATACCCAAATTTAAATGCACAAATTACAAGGAAAGCCTTTGACATTGGATAACAATTACCGTTACCGCGGCAATCATTTTTCCTTGATGTTGGCAGCTTGTAGTTTATACTCCCTTTCTCACATTAGGGTTTTTTCCAACTAATTTACCTTAAGTTTAATAGCGTGTTAATATATAGCATGTAAATGTAGAACTTTTTATTAAAGAAACAATTATTTAAAAATATGCTGTGATTGCTGACGTCCTACGTAAAGAAGTAGTGTGTGCTTACACTTTATTATATTAGTATAGATAGTATAAAAATATAGATTGTAAATTAAAGAGCAATAAGGGCTATTCTATTGTGCATCCTACGGCAACACCGGCGGTGAATAAGCGCGGAGGGGCCCT